AGGCAGGCACAAAGGGTTTGCACCAGGTCTGGGGACACAGGGGACACCGTCTTAAAGGGGCCGTGTCCCCAACAAGTCTGGGGACACGGCCTTAAAGGGCAGTGTCCCAATCTTCCTGATGTCCCAGAAAAGGTGTTTAAAGGGCCAGCACCAGTCACATAAAGAGTCCATAAGCCCCAATATGCCCACCAACAGTCTTAAAGGGCCATACACACCAAATAAAAGTGCATACATTTTCACAATCTCCCAGGGGCCATAGTCATGCGGGAGGAGGCTGGCAAAGAGGCTTCTCCACAACCCAGGGAAACAGGGCAATTTGCTATTTAAAGGGCCCGTTACAAATAGCAGTTTGTAACAAGGTGTCAATCCATATCTGCCAAGTGACCCGATGTAGGGGGAACAGTCCCTATTCTGCTCTGGTGTCAGTGTGTACCAGGGAACCTTTAGGACAGGTGTCAATCCATATCTGCCAAGTGATCCGATGTAGGGGGAACAGTCCCTATTCTGCTCTGTGTCAGTGTGTATCAGGGATCCTTAGGACAGGTGTCAATCCATATCTGCCAAGTGACCCTATGTAGGGGGACCAGTCTCTATTCTGCTCTGTGTCCGCGTGCATCAGGGGCTCTGAGGACAGGTGTCAATCCATATGTCAAGGTGTCAATATGTCATATGTCAGGTGTCAATCCATATTGATTGTGATTTAGAAATGTTAGGTGATTTCTGCCCTTTATGGATTAAAACCAGACTCTGTATCAACTGTGTAATTTTCCATGGGAGTTTTGTCATGGATCCCCCTCCGGCATGCCACAGTCCAGGTGTTAGTCCCCTTGAAACAACTTTTCCATCCCTATTGTGGCCAGAAGAGTCCCTGTGTGTTTTAAAATTCGCCTCCCCATTGAAGTCAATGGCGTTTCGGGCGGTTCGCCGGTTCGCGAACATTTGCGGAAGTTCGCGTTCGCCGTTCGCGAACCGAAAATTTAGGGTTCGCGACATCACTATTTAGCAAGTGGACTCTAATACTGATCTCTTGGAGAACAACTCATATTAATCTTAAGTATAACTTCCAATTTATTATCTGGAATCTCAGTTATTAATGAACTGTTTCTTGCTCAAATCTTCTCTGCTGCATACACACTAGTTATATTGAGGATAACGCCCATCAAGCTTAACCACAATGAACTGTTTCTTGCTTTGCAAATATTATCTGCTACCTGCATACTAATTCTATTGAAGATTATTCTTATCAACCTAAAGAATATTATTCAATACATCTCTGAGGAAATACTTATTGATGAACTTTGTATTGTTTGCTATAACCAGCAATGTCTTCTTATTGAATTATTACCTAAATGCTTTTCACAATTTAAACCTATTTAGTTTAGAAAAACATCGCCTGAGAGGGGATATGATAACATTATACAAATATATTCGGGGCCAATACAAACCATTGTGTGGAAATCTATTCACAAACCGGACTTTACATAGGACACGAGGCCATGCGTTTAGACTGGAAGAAAGAAGATTTCGTCTAAGGCAAAGGAAAGGTTTTTTACTGTAAGAACAATCAGGATGTGGAATTCTGCCTGAAGAAGTGGTTTTATCAGAGTCCATACAGATGTTCAAACGGCTACTAGATGCATACTTGCAAGAACAGAATATTCAAGGATATAATCTTTCAATGTAGGGTAATAACTGCTTGATCCAAGGATAAATCTGACTGCCATTCTGGGGTCAAGAAGGAATTTTTTTCCTAGCTTGTTGCAAAATTGTGCTTCAAACTGGGATTTTTTGCCTTCTTTTGGATCAACAGCAAAAAACAAATGTGAGATAGGCTGAACTTGATGGACGCAAGTCTCTTTTCAGCTATGTAACTATGTAACTAAAGTTTATCACAATCATTAAAACTTTGTTTGATTCTCTAGTTGCCAGCAATCCTCTCTTTTCTTAAAGCTACAGTATTGATAATTTAAAGATTCTCCATTTCTTCACTATTGTAATTAAGGAGTTCTACAAGCTGCAGTTGAGTTCCAATTCTAAAAACCCTAGTAGCATAACAGTAAGAAGGTAAGGAGACAAGTGGACCAGCGAGTGCTAGGGGACAGTCCTTAGAAAGCGTTGAGCGAGCACATCATTAGATGCATAGTATGCCCTTAGTTGGCCAGCTGCATGATTGGCAGGCAGTCTGACGTTCTAATTCTTTGGGCAGACATGTCCTCTTTTTGGGCATGTTCGCCCCTTTTAGCAGGTTACGTGATTTGTGTCAGTGGCACACCCTTTTACCGTGCCCATTGACTTCCTGCTTGACTGGACACTGCTGTGTTGGATTTACTTGAAAGATGAAAACATAAATTAGAGGGAGATTAGCATAGGGTATGTGTTTTCTTATAGCTGCTGTTTTCTTTCTCTCCAGCACCATCTCCATCAGATACATGACGCTTGGGAGTGTTTTAGTGTTTTTGGTCGATATGATTCTTTAATTAGGCCCGTCATAATTGTCAGCACCAGGCCCAATGGGCTGTTAATCTGGCCCTGATTCCATTTATCAAGGACTATTAAGTATTCTCATACTGATTTTAAATTAAAATATTTTAATTTAATTTTAAACATTAAAATAATTGTACATATCGGGGGAGCTTGGCTTCCGATCTGAATGGCCACATCTTCCCTGAGCTCCATGAAGGATACCCTAAAAAGACTGCTAAACGGAGGAAAAAACACACGAAACGTTCATAAAAGATTACTCACCCACTTGAGAAAACCGACATGGGTAGGAAAAACAAGAAACCCAAATCATACAAGGGCCTGCCAGCCTGGGACATCGGCGAACTATTCCGCAACCCCCAGAGGGCCTCATGGGACAACATGGCGCACCTTATGGGGGATTCCTCATGCTCATCTGAAAACCTACTGGATCTGGGGGAAGAGAACTCACACGGTATGCAAACTGGACCCCGGCCGTCTCTGACTGAGGATAGAGACCCTGTTCAAGAAGGCTGTGAAGGACCCCTGATAGAGACCCAATTCAAGAAGGCTGTGGATGGCGCTCACGCAAAAATTGCCGACCTAGAGGCCTCACACCACACACAGGACACCACCAGGCTCTCAGAGATGGAGAAGCAACTGGGGGAGCTCCGCCGACAGCAGAAAGCAACCGCGGACAGGGTGTATGCCCTGGAGGACCAGCGGAGGAGATATAATCTAAAGGCAAGGGGAGTGCCGGAGACACTGAGCCCCATAGACTTACCACACTTCATCAGAAGATTCATGGCTGCTAACCTGCTGCCTAATCAAGCCAGGGCTGTCAAACTGGATGGAGAGTTCCGTATCCCTAAACCGGCAACTGCACCACTGACCTCCACACCGGATATTATAATAAGATCCCAGTCTCTACAAGACCGGGCCTCACTCTTGTCAACCGTGAGGGAAAAGAACCCACTGCAATTTGAGGGAGCTAATTTACAAATGTTTCCAGACTTAACCAGGAATACCCTTGCATGGCGTTGATTTCTGCACCCTCTCCTCCAGCTCATGCGAGCTATGGACATTCCCTATCGCTGGGGCCCACCAAGAGCCCTGGTATTTACTGCCCAGGGAGAAACTCACAGTACAAGTACACTGCAGGACCTGGAAGAACACCTTCACAAGATGGGTCTTCTCACCCAGACCGCATCTGCCGCAGCATCCCTACCTCGCCTAGCGATGATAAAATAATTCACCCCCCAAACTACACAGGCTCCACCGTCATCCAGAGCAGTGACCTGAACAATTGACATGGACTAGAAGCTAAAAGCCAGTTCCCTAACTTCACAGAGACTTACTCTCTTTTACCAATGGTTCTTGTGATCTTTTTTTCTTTTTTGTTAGTTAATAATCATTATATTTATGATTTTCACGCATATACAGATTATAACAGCCCTTTAATCCTTTACACACTACAATACCTTCGACGCCTTAAGCGATAGGCACACAGGATTCCTCCACCCACAAAGCGCTTCTGACACCACAATGCACACGCCTGACAAGGCCTCTCAACCTACCAGACCATCTCCATGCACCCAGCGCTCAGCTAAGTCACAACCGCAACCCCCCTCTCCTTCCCCATCTCGTGTTTTAATACCTAAGTGTCTACACATCAGAGCACAGTGCAAGAGGGGGTTAATAAACTGACACTACTACTATTTGATACACGTGAATGTTCTCCTGTTGACCCTAGCTATAGTAAACATAATTGACCTGTCTAGATGAAAAAAGTCAGTTTTATCTCTGTTAGCTCACGAAATTATCTTATTTAATGTATAAAAATGGGCACGATAAGCATGTTACTTATGCGAACCTTGATTTTATGATTGTAACCTGTAACCAATTGCAAATGCTTGAATCATATGCACGCAAAAATAAAGAATTAAAAAAAAAAAATAATAATTGTACATATCAATAGTTACAACTAGTACAATAAGTGTAGAAAGAAAGAATTACAATATTAATAAAACAATAAAAATTAAAAACAAAAACTAACTAACAAAAAAAAATTCCTAGCCATTCCCTGCATCCTGGACTACAAAGTATTCTCATACTGATTTTAGAGTTCAACATCTTATTTATTCTGAAATAATAGTATATGAATCTTTCATATAAGTGAAAAACATGGTAATTTCGCTGTTTACTTCATGCTTCCTGGAGAACTAAAAAAATACAGAGATAAACTTTAAACTTGTGGCTTAATATTATTGACTTCTGGTTAGATCATGCATGATTGTTAAACTCAGCATAAGTATTAAATTATTCCTCTTGGAATCATATAATAATTGTTGTGTATTCTGTATTACATAGAGCCTTCATACACATATTGTTATCAAGCACCAAGACAACAGCTGAATAAAACTGAGTTCAAAAGTCAACATTTTCTGAAGCAGTGGTTCATTATATTGAGAAATACACAGGATCTGACACTTCACTATTAGTGGAACTTTGTTACAGCCATAAAAATACGCACCTACTGAGATTTTGTTATTTGACTCTAAACTTTCCTTTACAATACAAAGAAACAGTAACACACAGAGAAAAAAAGGAACACAGACAACCACGGTAAGCATGAATGTTTGTCCTAATGCCAAAGTAGTTACTTGCACAATGAGTGGTGTGGGAATATAAATTACATAAAAATGTCTATTTATTTATTTTCTAATATATCCATAACGCAATGCAAGTAACCATTTTGTTTTATTAGAAATTAATAAATAGATTTAAAAAACTGTCTCAAATTTGTATACTGAATATTCAAATGATTAGTACTTTTTTCTGTAGCAGTTTGTTCTCACCAATAATGTAAAAGTATGTTATGTACAAAATTGGTAGAGACAGCATTACAAAATGTGGCATGGTCATCTAGCTGTAACACATGTAGGAATATGTTATATGTCCATGTCATATTTGATTTAATTGCCTTCCTTGCAATACTAGATTTGAGCACTATATTTTATCCAAGCTTTCCCTAATTTACCCTCCTAACTTCAGGGTATGATTGATAACTTTCTTCCATAATTAATTCCCCTTGCCATAATGATTTGTAAACCTGCTATTATTGAAGGGAAGCCTTTTTTGGAAATCTAGAATCTGAATGCAGGGGACACAATAAATAGGTAGTCTATGTTTTAATGTCCTTGCTGTGTGAACTTTTTAGTTTTGTCGGGTTTATTGTAGAGAAAAACAGGCATTTCCTTAAGAGCAAGCATCAAATACATGGTCTGTCCTAGTGAGTTTTAAAAACTAGCATACTTAGAAATGTTTTGTTTGCTACAATGGACAATATAAAAATAAAAAAAAAGTGTTATTACCGTATTATTTTTCTGTAAACCTGTTTCATGCTGGGGAATCATCAGTGCATTAAAAAGGTTGAAAGGAAACTCCCTGTTATTGAAAAGACTAAGGCAAAGTGTACAAATTTATTTTAGGTACGTGATATAATGTCAATTACTGTGTGTGCACCGTAGATTGATCTCAATATAAGGGAGCATTTATTGAGCATTTAAAAGTAAAAACGTCACTTGCCCATTATTGTGTGACACCAATGGATGCTGCATTTTATTGAAAGGTTACTCCAAGCACCATGACTGCTTCATTGTTTTGAAGTGGTTACAGTGCCTGGAGTCTGTATGTGCAGCGTTTTGCACATACAGACGATTTACCTCTTAGTTGCCAGTGGTGAAACTCCATTAGCCAGCCCAGTACAAAGTTCCAGGCAGGCATGTCAATTCTATGCAAAATTGCATGGCATGCTAGCATCAGATGGTAAATGGTAGCACTGCCCCACCCCTCCCCCTCCCTGCCATCCCTGTCCTTCCAACAGTTACTCTACCCTGACCTCCTTTCCCCACCAGTGAGAGGAGTGATGTCAGGCACGGAGAATCAAGCTGCAAGGAGAACTCTGCAAGGGAAGCGAAGTGGAGTTTTAGCATTTTATTTTTTATTTTTTTTTAACTAGGGAGCCTGATCAATTCTGAAAGTGTTACTTCAATCTGTAAAAACATTTTTTTGGTTAAGAGTGTTTGAGGTAGAGGGACATGTATGCGTACAGGAGTGATCCTGTAATGACCCTTTTGGATTGGATTTAAACGTTTAGACACTGCTAGGCCTTGCATGAGCCAGAGGCTCAACCACATAGTTGATGAAACCAATAATTACATTGAACTACTCATTAACTACATATGTTACACATGCCACAATCTGTTGTAAAACCAAGGAACAGTAAATGAACACAACGCAATAAACATTGGGTTAATGTTTCTATTGCAATAGCACTTCGTTCATAGCTTTTAAGTTAACCATTATTTTGCATCTGACAATCAAGCCTTTTCTTTACGACAATGACTAATCCTAACCTAACCCTGAACTATGCTTAATTCCTTAATGATGTCATGGCTTGCTATGCCATCCTACAAAGAAGGAGTTTAACATCACTAGAGCGACATAGTGCTCCTTAACAATCGGCGCATCTCGGCAGCCAGGATACTCATCTTCTGTGGTAATTGTGATCAGGGGACTGCCTTACAACTGAGGCGGTTCTCCTGCATCCATCCCGCCCATCTGCATCATGTGATTGCGATGACACTGCCATCACATGAATCGGATCAGTGTGGTTGACTCATTGGCTGCTGAGGGACCACCTGGGTTGTCAAAAATATCCCCAACATATAACTAGTAAAAGCACTTAATTATGTTTAGAAAATAAATAAATACACCCTTAGAATTAACATATATGTGTGTATATGTATATATATATATATATATATATATATATATATATATGCTCAAACTTTTTTCATACACTGCCAGAAATTGTGAAATGTTGGCATTGATTTTGAAAATATGACTGATCATGCAAAAAAATATATTTTATTGAAGGATAGTGATCATATGAAGCAATTTATTATCACATAGTTATCACATACTTGTTTGGCTCCTTTTTAAGTCATAATGATTTCAGAAATTACCCAAATGACCCTGATCAAAAGTTTACAACTTTGAATGTTTTGCCTTGTTACAGACAAACAACTTGACACCCATAGGTTAAAATGGCAATTAAAGGTTAATTTCACACACCTGTGGCTTTTTAACCCCTTAAGGACACAATTCTGGAATAACATGGAATCATGACGGAATATTTCCATCATGTGTCCTTAAAAGGTTAAATTGCAATTAGTGTCTTTGTATAAATAGTCAATGAGTTTGTTTGCTCTCAAACTCATCTAGCAGGCTAGATACTGAGTCATGGGGAGCAGAAAGAACTGTCAAAAGACCTGTGTAACAAGGTAATGTAACTTTATAAAGATGGAAAAGGATATAAAAAGATATCCAAAGCCTTGAAAATGCATGTCAGTACTGTTGAATCATTTATTAAGAAGTGGACAATTCGGGATCTCTTTATACCAAGCCAAGATCAGGTAGACCAAGAAAGATTTTAGCCACAACTGCCAGAAGCATTTTTCGGGATACAAAGTGAAACCCACAGGTAACCTCAGGAGAATAACAGTCTGCTCTGGAAAAAAATATGTGGTTGCACAATACGACCATACTTGAACAAAAATTAGAGCGCAAGGTCTCTAACATCCACCAGCTCCGTGATGTCGTCATGGAGGAGTGGAAGGGTACTCCAGTGGTAACCTGTGAACTCCATGTCCATGAGGGTTAAGGTAGTGCTGGAAAATAATGGTGGCCACACAAAATATTGACACTTTGGTCTCAATTTGGACATTTTCTCTTAGGGGTGTACTCACTTTTGTTGCTAACGGTTTAGACATTAATGGCTGTGTGTTGAGTTATTTTGAGGGGACAGCAAATTTACTCTGTTATACAGGCTGTACACTTACTACTTTACATTATAGCAGTGTCATTTCTTCAGTGTTGTCACATGAAAAGATATAATAAAATATTTGGACACAAAGATAGGAGGATTGCGCACACTATGGTAGATGGTTCTTTAAGTATTGTTGTAAAAATACCTAGATATTGTATACATAAAATGCCATGATAGGACAGTATGTATGTACAAAGATAAAATGTTAAAATAACTTGGAACACTCACAATAATTAGAGCCCTTATTAGTCGACTCTAAACTGTAATCACAGTTACATCAATCAGATGCAGATGGATCAGGTAAGTGCAGGTCCTCCAGAAGGTGTTGGAATTCCTCTGCTATGGTAATTTAGGAACTAAATCAGAAATAAATGTATAAATTTTATTAGAACAAAAAAAAAGGAGTTAAAACAAGCACAGCGTGCTTTGACCCTATAAAATAAGTCTTCCTCAGATCATTATAACATAAGGTATGAACTTAAAGATTTTTAAATACCATACACAATCAATTAAACGTAATACACATGTATCAATTAAAAACAGACCCAACCCCTTGTCCATTTATGGAGATTCCGGGATGATTTTGCCACACTAAATATGGAGGATATCCTTGTTTATTCAGTGGCCGTGCATTTGACCTTCTCAAGATGGCCGCGCTTCTAATCCAAGTCTCTGCCAGTCAAGTGTAATAATTACTTCCGGTAACATCCGCTATTCATTCTTCCGGTGGATGTTACCGGAAGATAATGCGGCTTGCAAGTACGTCACTACGTCCTTATTGTCCAATACACTGTCTATGCAGTCTCACACTAATTTACCACACAAAAGGAGGGTTTCACAGAATCGCCATTTTGGATGATGGAATAAATAAGGGCAGGGGAATCAAGAGATTAAAATAAACGTATTTCTTTTAAAATAGGAAATCAGTAGGATATAATATATTCATTAAAGATAACATATAGATATCTTAAATTATAAAAAGGAAATGCAATAATTCTAAGAACAGCATATAATAAATAGGTTAAGAGGTGGAAAATAAGTTAATTAGAGGATAGTTCCAATTTCAAAATCAATATTTAGTCCTTTAGGACATCAAGTTTGTAATTCCAAATCCAAGTGATTTCTTTGTTACCTAATTTAAAAGAATCATTTCCACCCCTCCAATTGGTAGATATATTTTGTATTGCCATTAATTCCAATTCTTTCGGATTTGATTTATGAGTTTCCAAAAAATGCTTTGACAAACTGTGGTTTAAAAATCCAATTTTAATATTTCTGACATGTTCATTTATTCTAGTTTTAAGGGGCCTCGATGTTTTCCATATATATTGTAATCTACATGTGCATTTTAATAAATAAATGAAATTTTTTGATTCACACGTGATAAAGGAGAGAACATTAAAATCCTTTTTTGTTACAGAAGATGTGAAATTTTCTTTCTTTTTTTGGAAATGAAAGTGCTTTTACAAGCGTTACAGTTACCACAATGATAATTGACCAATCCTCTATAAAATTACTTTCTATCTCTTTTTCAACACAACGAGAAGTTAAAATTTGCTTACATTTTTTTTTGCCCCTCTAAAAATAAATTTGGGCTTTTTCTCAAAAAAAATCATAAATATCATGTTCTTGTTTAAGAATATGCCAGTTTTTATTTAACATTCTTTTTTAAACACTGGTATTACTAGAATAATTAAAAATAAATGGGATTTGTTTTTGCTGTTTTGTAAGGTCTAGAATAATTAATTGATTTTATCAGTGTTTTAAAAATAATTATTTTTAATGATTCCCGAGAATCATTGCTCCTTTTTATTAAAGACTAGACAATACTTACTGGCTATAGCAACTGCCGAAGTACATAACTTTGCATTTATCTACATTAAACTTAATCTGCCTTATGAGTGACCAGTCCCCTAATCTATCAAAATCCCTCTGTAGCGTGTCCTGGTCACATTGTATTACTTTACCTAGTTTTGTGACCGAAAACACTGACACCTGACTTTCAATACCTATTTTAAGATCATCTATAAATATATTAAATAGAAGCGGTCCAAGAACAGAGCCTTGAGGGACACCACTTACCACATTTGTCCCACTTAAAAATTTACCATTAATGACAACTCTCTGTACTCAGTCTTTAAGCCATTATTCTGCTGAATAATTTGTAATATTAAGTGCTGTTTAAAGCTAAGCTAAGCTTTAGAGAATATGCCCCCCCATTCTTCTTCTTTTATTTTTTTTCTCTCTCTCTGAAGGGAGGTATGAGAACTACTGAGATGTATACAAATACAAAATTGTGTTTGTGGACTTTTATGGGACAATTTGTTTTGCTCACTGAGGATTAATATGAGAACTATTGAGATGCATACAAATTGTGTTTTGTTTGTGGACTTTTATGGGACATTTTTTTTATTGCTCATTAAGGACTAGTATTGAATTCTAATTATCTCAAACGATTCACGCCCACCTTGTGGACATAAATATGGAGTGTGATCATGTTGAGGGCAGATCTGAGGAAGCCGGCATACTGGTGAAATGCGTCATCACGCCCTGACGTCACACGCTCGCACTTTGCTCAAGCCATGCCCCTGGTGTCTTTGGGAACTTCGGACACAACATTCCACAGCCGGCAGTGGAGTAGCAGAAGTGAAATCCTATTGGTGGGGTGAGCTTATGGGTCCTTTGGCGGCTGCTGCTGTTTTTAAAGTATTGCAATAAAGATTGGATATTCTACAATTTATCATTTAGTCCAGAGTGATATATCTTGGAGCTATTAAAGTTTAGAGCAGGCTTCTCTGTCCTATGTTTGTGAGTGTTCCCTTTTAAACTTTTATATTGCATACAATTTATTGTACTATATTGCCCTATGAGGTTCTTTTATTCTTATTTTAAATGTATGCTCTCCCAATGAAATCAACCAATATTCTACAATAATACATATGTAAGTTTGTATGTTACACTGATCCACATTTTTTACACGAATTGTGGCACTTATATTGCATTGTGTTTGCACCAAAATACTATTGCACTTTATAATATTGTGTTTTAAGGGCATGTTGCAATTTTCACTAATATTGTCTTAAAGACACAGCGCATCTTAACTTTCGTTTTATTTCCAATACCTTTCCATCGGTAGGCTATCAAACACGCGTGGCAAAATGCCGCACTGAGCCAGTCAATATTTCCTTATATAAATGCATTGCATCAATTCATCTCTAAGGGGAGCATTTACCATCTCCATGCAGAGCGTGGTGATGCTGAATGCCAGTGACTAGGAAGCAGCTCTAGTGACCATCTGATTGACTACCACTAGAGGTGTTACTAGCCACTACATTAAGCTGTAGTGGTTCTGGTGACTACAGTGTCCCTTTAATTTAAGAGCTAAAAGCCCCTCATTTGCATTTTTTTGTATTTTATTAAAGATTTCATTACAATGCAGTTTTTAATGTATCTTTATGTTATCTTGTCTACATACAGAAATTACGATGGCCTCACCTCCAACTGCAGTTATAATGGTTCCTCAATGGACTGCAAACCAAATAGTTCAACCTGTGTCTGTTGCACCTGCAAATATCCAACAATCATATCAGGTTTTAAACAAAGGCCAACCTAAAGCACTAGGGGTAAGTTATTTAAATAAAGCAACACTCCGTGCAGAACAACTGCAGTGTACTTCAGTGGTTATGTTTCAAGAATGTTCTGTGTCCTGCCTCCCTCCCAATGTAAGTAGTCAAACCACTGATTCCTGAGGAGTAGAAAGATTTAATCTCTTTATCCGCTAAATTCTCCTTAGTAGCGGTTATCTTATCTGGGGTCTGCAGGATGTTCCACACCTCCTCTCAGCCTTCAGATGTGCTTGAAACTTCTGTTTAGGAGCTTCAATTAGCTCTCCAGAACAAAGACCTGTACTTTCAGTTTTAGTTCAATGGAGAGGGGGGGGGGGGGATTCCCACTGGACTGGACCATAGATAAGAAGTCAAACAGTAACTAAGGACAATATAGATTATAAAATTAAAGATGGAATTTTTTTAAACCTCAGGAATTATTCTGAAAATGTGTTGAAGTACTTTCCATAGCATATTATACTACCCATGTTGTTTGTGTAAAAGTTTAAGTATTACAATTTTTTTTTTCTATTCTGTTTATGACACTTTCAATAAAGGACCACTATAGTGCCAGGAAAACATACTCGTTTTCCTGGCACTCTAGTGCTCTGAGGGTGCCCCCCTCTCTGAAACTGCTATGTTTACAGAAAAAAGGGTTAATCCTATCTAGACCTGGTACCCAGACCACTTCATTAGGTTAAGTGGTCTGGGTGCCTATAGTGGTCCTTTAATACTGGTATCTAGACTTGGAGATTCATTTTGGGTTAAACAGCAATTTGGGCCGATTGGGCAATCAAGCGAATTCCTGAATGCCAAGCTGAATTTTATCCAATGACAAACAAATTAAAACATGCAATGCCAATCATGTTTAGTTCAGAGATGGCTTCTGAATACATCTCATGGCACCAAAAAAAGAGATGGCTTATGGGAAGTAATAAAGGTTGATGGGGCTGGTCACTACATGCTGATTTTATTTGCAGAAAACTTAGAAGTGAACAATACAAGGAAAAGAGAGCAGTAAAAAGCTATATTAATTTATTCTATATTAAATATAAATGTAATATATAAATGTAATTTTATTTTTAATGGTCCTCCTGTTTTCCCTCTGTGGCTATTATTTCTGTTTTGATCTGTGAACCAAATGGCAAGAACATGCTCCTATTAGTAGTGCAATATATATATATATATAAATAAAAAATATTATTTTATTATGTGTATATCTTGCTGCATACTGATCGGCCCGTTTTTGCAGGGTTTTTCTTCTGATTTTGATTCCAGAAATTATGCTCTGCTGAACCAACATTTGAATAAAACAATAGAACAGCAGCAAAAAAGGCTAAAATGGCTAAAATATTTCCTGCCATGATGTCTAGTATCAGAGAGATTTTCGTTTTAGAATCATTGATTGTAATTGTTTGCCTTTTGCAATTCAGTATAAATTTATTCTCCATGGCCAGCTATTCTCTTACAGGGATATTGCAGGATTTATGATCAATTTAATTTTATTTCTCATTTTTTTCACTGATTTATGTAAATAATTTGGTAGATTTATTTTCTTTTTCTTCATATTTGAACTATAAAATGTATTCTTTCGTACTTTGATTTTGACATTTTATTATAAATAATACTATTAAATGTTAAGTTTTAAGTTTACTTCCAAACGGTCGGAGCTAACTTCCATAGTTTATTGTGTGAATTATTATATATGTATGTATGTATAATATATCTAAAAATAGCTTAGAATGCAATAGCAATATAAATATATATATATAAACACACACAGGAAAATGTGTTTCTGCTTTCTTTAATTTTCTTTTCCTGGTCGTAGACCTGGCAGCACAACAATGTATTTCTGCTGCCATGGCTTATGACCAGGAAAAAGGAAAATGTATTCCTACTTACCGTAATTTTCATTAGACATTATTGTGCTGCCATCGATATGGCCAGGAAATATATAGAGGAAAACTTATTCATACTTAATTTTCTTTTCCTGGCTATTATTCATGGCAGCAAATACATATGGATTAGCTCTTCCCCTTACAGCCGAAAGGACAGACATAAAACAAATTCATTTAAAAGGAGTATCCCTGCATAGGTCCCTCAGTCAGTAACAAGCTCCTACAGAAGAAATAAAACCAACCCTGGATGGGTAGTATATGCTGCAATGAATAATAGCCAGGAAAAGAAAATTACGGTTAGTATGAACACATTTTCCTTTTTCCTGGATAATCATGGCAGCATATACATATGGGAATACCCAAGCTTACCAGGGAGGGACAGAAACATAAATAACTGTCAATCAAATAGTCAGAACAATTCAACATAGATTAGAAGATTGAACTGAGTAAAGGACTAGATGTCCAAATTGCACCTCATTGATAGCTTTTAACTATGTAATGCTGGACAAACGAGTTCAAAGAGGTCCAAATGACAACTTTACAGTTTTATTGCCATAAAAGCCCATGATGCTGCAACTGCATGAGAGGAGAGTGCCCAAAACCCTTTAGTACAGGAAGAGAATGGCATTGATAAGCTTTCACCTTAGGCAGGATACCTGGTGATAATGCAAGACAACCATATCCTGATGAAAATCAGAAAATGGAGGTTCACAGGACCAAGCCTGGAGTACATACATTCTCCTTTCTGAGGTACTAGCCACCATCAACAGCACCTTCTGTGCTAACATCATGGAAGCTCCTGACAGAAGTTTGAACAATGGTTTAGTCAGAGCCTTTAAGAACAGCGGTAGGTCACAAATTGGCTTCAACGCCCTTAGTGAAGGCTTGAGTTCAATTGCAGCTTACATGAAGCAAAGCACCAGGGGCTTCAATGCCCAAAGGGTATCCTTCAGTAGAGGCAGATAATGTCATTGATAAGCTTTTACTTTAGGCAGGATTTCTGGTGCTAATATAACATAACATATTAGCACCAGAAATGTAAGAGGATCTTAATGAACGTCTCAAGGATGCCTATACTTCTAGAGACTCCTACATCAACACCAGAGCTTAAGGATCTTGGTGTGCCAAGGGACCTTGTAATAGGTCTGGGCATACTAGACTTTCCTTTGGAGGTTCCAGATTCATCTTACTCAACATAGGGATTTAGAGTCTTTGTGGCCTTCCACTGTCTCCTTTTGAATTCCCTTTAGGAAAGTTGAAAACAGGAGAAATATGTACATCAGACTGAAATTCCAAATTTGGGTCATGGTATCCTGACCTTGAGCATTCTGGTCCTAAAATCTAGAATGTGTTTATTCTTCTGTATAGTTAAAACTGTATGTAGTATTTGTATGATTGTTCAGTAGTTTCCATCCGTATTCCATACGAATGAAAACTACCGAACCAATAGACCACCCCAGAGAGAAGTGTGCACCTCATTAGGCTGCACACTTCTCTAACCGCAGGTTAATTGGTACTTGGTGCATGTATTTGGGTGGCCGCCGTTCGGCATACGAACACGTGGCGGCGTCCATCTTACACATGAAAACCTCAGCGGTGTTTGGTCGTCAAGTGTCTGGAACTCAAATCGGACACTCAATTACCCAAACACCGCTGAGACCTCCAGGCTTCCGTAACGCCCGAATGGGAAGGCTAATCAGCCCCCCGTTCGGTAAGTTAAAAGTACCGAACAATGGGATTCATGCGAATGCAATGTTAATCGTGGCTGTCAGGTTTTTATTTGTGTTTTACACACATAAAAACCTGTTCCAAAACACATGGAACCCTTTTCGGCTACCACCTCGTGTGCGGTCGGTCAAATGGTCCCTTCCGCATAACTACCGAACCCCTGGTAAGATCTGGGTATATTTGGGGTATGTTGGTCACCCAGATCCGGGCTACCAGGGGGTGCCACTTAGCCCCTTGTACCTAACTGTTTTGGGGTACATCCAGAATTCGGGGAAAATTGCAGCAGATATAATGGGATTATGTGTCACACTGAGGGGAGGAGATGTGTGGGAGGTAACTGTGACATTATTGGTTACTGTATGGGAGAATGCTTTATAAGGAGGTTGTGTGGATTAAAAGTCAGTTTTGCTCCTGATGCTGTGTGTTGTCCAGTCATTGGGATCTGTATGGGGATATTCGTGGATTACCTTGTTTGCTGGAATTATTACTTTATGGTATTTTTACTACTTGTTCCTGAGCCTCACTGGGATCTTTAGTGGAGTTAACCTGTGGAATACCAGGCCTCCACTACACTGGTCACTGGAGGTTCTCCTGTCTAACCAGGAGGAGCTGGGATTCTTAGATCTTCAGTCCTGACGTACAAATACCTTGCAACCCTCAGCTGTTTCTTTAATGGAGTCATCCAAAGCTTTCCCAAACAGCAGCTCCCCTTCATTAGAATGGAGTAGAGGGCAGACTTGGAGGATGAGTCATAATCTCAGAAGCAGAACCAAAATGCTTTCCTAGCTGCTATAGATAAAGCCATTTGTTAGAGAGAATATCCTAGTTACATTCTTGGAAGCTTCTGTGAGGTAGTCAGTTGTAACCTGTAGACTCCAGACTGCATCTTCAATCTTGGTTCTTAATATCTCTCTCCACAGTAGCATTTAGATCCTTAACCACACTTTACATGGTTCTAGAAACAACAGTGAAAACTATAGCTGGATGACATCCTGCATTGGCAGGCGTATAAATTTGGACAGGTCTGCGTCCACTTTCGATCCATAGGTTTGCGTAAAAAGTAGAGTTGTCAAGCGGTAGCATCGTCCCACAGGCAACCCTGGAAATCGGTGCATCCACCTTAGGTGGTGTAGTCCAGGGGTTGGAAGTACCTTCCTCCACAGGGTAAAGTTTGGCCTCTTGTTCTTACCTCTAAGGCCTTTGCCCACATGTCATGTGGCTGCGCCGGAATAAGTTATGCTGAAGAGGCTTCCTTATGGAGGCAGTCAGAGTATAAAGGTTTTTCTACTACTGCATTCCCATCACAATCAGAACATGGTGTAGAAGACATGAAATAAACAAATTCTATTACCAAGAAAACAGTCAAACAGATTTAAAACTTACCCATGTCTGGAGAACCTGCAAATACTTTCCAAATAAGTTTGGGATGTTTACAGTAATTTCCCTCCATTTTAGGTACTTTCTGGCAATTGCCTTTATCCAAGATGGCTGCCGCAACTAATATTCCCATAATGCAAGTCATCGGTATTGGGCCCTTAAGGCACAAACTGGACATGCGCGGGCTTCTTCCAAGTGCATTAGCTGTTTAGAGACCAGGAGAGAGCAAAAACAAATAAAAGTAATGAATAAAAAGAGAAAAAACATACATGTCAAGAAGTAATGGGAACAAAATGCTCACATCCTAAGGGCTGGAGGATAGGAAAAAACTGAGGGACCTATGCAGGGATACTCCTTTTAAAGGAATTTGTTTTATTCTTGTCCTATAAGGGGAGTAGCTAACCCACATGTATATATACACAGTTGTGCTCAAAGGTTTGCATACTCTTGGAGAATAGGTAATGTATGTACCATTTTTAAAGAAAACATGAGTGAGCAGGCAAAACACATTTCTTTTATTTATTATGGGATTCATATTCACTTGTAGGTTACAACAGAATGACACAATCATAAAACAAAACATGGCAGCAAAAAAATAAATAAATTAAATGACCCCTGTTCAAAAGTCTGCATACCCTTAGTTCTTAATACTGTGTATTGTCCCCTTTAGCATCAATGATGACATGCAGTCTTTTGTAATAGTTGTCTGTGAGGCCACTAATTCTTGCAGGTGGTAAAGAAGCCCATTCGTCTTGGCAAAATGCGTCCAGGTCATGCAAAGTCTTTTGTCGTCTTGCATGAACCGCACTTTTGAGATCTCCCCAGAGTGACCCGTTGATATTAAGGTCAGAAAACTGTGATGGTCACTCCAGAGCCTTCACCTTTTTCTACTGTAACCACTGGAGGGTCAACTTTCCCTTGTGCTTTGGGTCATTGTCATGCTGGACAGTCCAAAAGCGTTCCATGTGCAGCCTTCGTGCAGAAGAATGCAAATTGTCTACCAGTATTATCTGATAACATACTGCATTCATCTTGCCATCAATTATCACAAGATTCCCTATGCCTTTAGAGCTCACATCCCCCCAAAAATATCAGTGAGCCACTACAATGCTTCACAGTGGGGATTGTATTCTTTTCATTATAGGCCTTGTTGACCCCTCTCCAAACATAGTGCTTATGGTTGTGAACGTAAAGCTCTATTTTGCTCTTGTCAATTCAAATTACAGTGTGCCAGAATCTGCGAGGCGTGTCAAGTTGTTGCTGGGCATATTGTAACCAGACTTTTTTGTGGCATTGGCGCAGTAAAGGCTTCTTTCTGGCAACTCGACCATGCAGCTCATTTTTGTTCATGCATCGTCGTATTGTGCTCCTTGAAACAACTACGCAGTCTTTTTCCAGAGCAGCTTGTATTGCTCCTGAAGTCACCTGTGGGTGTTTCTTTGTATCCCAAAAATGCTTTTGGCACTTGTGGCTGAAATCTTTCTTGGTATACGTGATAGTATGTATAAGAGATTCCCGAATTTTCTACTTCTTAATAAGTGATTCAACAGTACTGACTGGCATTTTTAAATCCTTTTCCTCTTATAAATTGCCAATACCTTGTTACGCAGATCTTTTGACAGTTCTCTTCTGCTCCCCACTGATCTGTATCTAGCCTGCTCAGTGCATCCATGTGAGAGCTAACAAACTCATTGACTATTTATGCATAGACACTAATTGCAATTTAAAAAGCAGCAGGTGTGGGAAATTAACCTTTAATTGCCATTTTAACCTGTGTGTGTCACCTTGTGTGTCTTTAACAAGCCCAAACATTCAAGGCTATGTAAACTTTTGATCAGGGCCATTTTGGTGATTTCTGTTATTATGATTTCAAAAGGAACCAAACAACTATGTGATAATAAATGACTTTATATGATCACTATCCTTCAATAAAATATTTTTTTTCCATGATCAGTCAAAATCAATGCCAAAATTTCACAATTTCTGCCAGAGTATGCAAAGCTTTGAGCACAACTGTATATATATATACACACACGCACTTTTTTTAATTTTAAGATATATGTGTGTAAAATGTGTGTATGTATGTATATATAAAAATCAATATATATAAAATCTAAATCTGCTTAAACTTTAATAATACCTTTTTTATTGGACTAACAGAATTTTTTATAAATGACAAGCTTTCAGGAGAACCTCCCTTTCTCAAGTCTGAAGCATTTCTGAGAAAGGTGACACATAGAATTCAAAGTTGAGTTGTGATACAGGGGTTAAAGCGACATTAGTGCAGATAAGGCACAGGTTTGATAGAAAATAGACACCATTCTCTCAGAGGGTTGTAAAGATCACAGAGTGAGGGGAGAGAGAGAGAAAAAACACACAAGCAAACCTTGCAGAAGATGGCGCTAGAAGGGGAGAGTAAAAACAAAATAATTACTTATATTAAGAATGTATGAATTCCCATCCAAGATTTACAGAATATGCATGAAGGCATATCCAGCATACACACACACACACCCACACATGTACATATACACATGTAGTGTATATGTACAAGTATACACAAGTACTTACATAATATACACAAGTACATACAATAGTATACATATAAATACAACCACATGCCCAAATAAATGTACATGCACACCTAAACATACATCCACACACAAGCACCAATACATGTACCTACACATATATAAATGTGCCTACACGTACATAGACCCATATATATGCATATGTACATATACACCTATTCACATAAACATATGTGTATGCATGCATACACACACACATATATATATATATTATATATATATATATATATATATATATATACACACACATAAACACATGAACACATATAAATATACACAAACACATATGCATACATACATTACAAGATACTAATTTTATCTGTTTTTATATATATATGTATATATATATATATATAAACCACTAGAAATTCCTTGCACTTCCAAATTTCCTTTAAATGCCGGGTGCAAAAAGGCCTGGGCTCCAAGTAATACATACTGTAATAAAAATGGCTGCACTCCGGTCCTTAAAATTCCAATTATTTATTTAATCAATTTAAAATGATCAACGTTTCAGTCCCTCCAGGCTCTGGGGAGATAGCGCAGCTAAGCGGACAAGGGCACATGTAGGAGTGTGGGGATAGATGCATGGGATTGGTTGGGAAAGAGTGTGTGGGTGGGATTATGTTCTGTGTAAATTAGTGTGGCGGAGGTCTTACCTCAGTGCCACTTGGGATTCGGGCCAGCAAACAGCTTCCTGTCCTGCTGCTCCTGTTTGCCTGGGCCTGCAGACTGACACAGCTTGAGGTGATGGATGTTGAGGCGATCCGGTCGTCCCTCAGGGCTGCTGCAGCGTGGATGGTGGCCGGCAACTAAGGGAGGAATTGACAAGCATTAATGGAGGTATGGCTGCCGGTGTGGGCACCCCCCGTGGCCTACCCTCCCCATGGGGCACCCCGTGCGGTCTCCCCTGCTGCCTCCCATGCGGCCCCTGCCCCTGGGGGCCGCACCAGCACTGGCAGGCATTCCCGCCAGCCTGCCAGGCTGTCCCTGGATCCTACTCCTCGGGCCCGGTTGAGGAGCAGGAGCCTGGGCCCGGGGCACCGTTGGGGCCGCGTGTCTGGGGCTCCAGGCACGCGGCCTACTACTGGGGGCTGGGATTTCAGGCCTACTGAGGCCGCGCGGGTGGCACGGCCTTCAGACACGAGGCCTGCCACTGCCGTGTGGCCTACTACCTCCACCGCCCTGCCTGCTACCCCCATGGCCGCCCGGCCTGCTCCTTCCTGGGCCACCCGGCCGGCCTGCTAGTCCCAGGCCGGGGATGCAGTCTGCAACTGCTGCGCGGCCTCCTGGTTCGGCTGCCGCGCGGCCTACTGCTCTCCCTCCCCTCCACACCATCCGCCCCGGCCACCAGCGCTGGATTGCGGGATGGGGGCGGTGGGCGGCAGATCCGGCTGGCGGGTGGCCGCCCGGCAACTGTGCTGGTCCCCCGCGGCCGGCGGGGAGGTGAGTGGGCCCCCGTGGGCTGCGCGGGGTACCTAGTACCACAGTGGGGGTCTGGGGGGGGTCCCCCTGCCCATCGGGAGCCTCCTCTGCCAGTGAGGGAGGCTCCCAGGGCTCTGTCTCCCCTCCCTCCTTCCCTGTTAGTGCTGGCTTTCTTTGTCTTCCAGGGGGCCCAGCTTACCCTTGCCTGGGTCCCCTGGTCCCCCCTCCTCTTGCCCGGTTTTCTCTCCCCCCCTCCCTCTCTCTGGTGGTCCTGCCTCCTGGGGAGGTCTGGGGGGGTCCCCTTGCCCATCGGGAGCCTCCTCTGCCAGTGAGGGAGGCTCCCGGGGCTCTGTCTCCCCTCCCTCCCTCCCTGTTAGGCTGTCTTTCCTTTTCTTCCAGGGGGCCCAGCTTACCCTTGCCTGGGCCCCCTGGTCCCCCCTCCTATTTCCGTGTCCCCCACCCCTCCTCTGGTGGGCCTGCACCCCCTCTTCTGCTCTACCCCCCCTCTCTATCCCTCTCTATCCCTCCTATCTTCATCCCCTCTGTTCTCCCCCCTCTCTCTACCTTGCCCCTCTGGCTTGCCTGTACCCCCCTCTCCCCCCTCCCTCTAGCTTGCCTGAACCCCCCCCCCCCGCAGTTCACTTACCTCGGCCATCTCCTCTGGGGCGTGGGCTCATCTTCTCTGCTGCTTCCTTCTCAGCATGCTGCTGCAGTTCATGGATCCGTCCAGAAGGTGGTGCCTGGATCACAGCTGATGTCCTCTGTGGATGCTGGAACTGCTGTTTTCTTTGCCTCAGCCTTCTGTGAGCGCAGTGCCGGGCTTGGATCGCCAGGCTAGGTTTGGGATGATGGCTCGGCACAGCGGGCTGCGTGGGTGGGGCTGCGAGGCCTTGCTGACAAAGGCGGCTGTGGAATCGGTTTTACGGCTGCTGCCGGTACGCCCGTCGGGTTTATTGTTTCCAGGTTGTGTTTCCGACGGTCAGGATTGGGTGGTTATGTGCCTCCACGTGGGTTGCCTCCGATGTCATTAATGTGTGGGGCCGGCGGTGCAGCATGTCCGCCCTCTGGGGTAGTTTCCTGGGGTAGTTTTATGAGTTTCGGAGTTCCGTAGGTTGGGATACGGGCTTTAGTCTCCTGGATAGTGGGATCGATTCCTGCAACGGGATGTAGGTTGCCCCTGACTGCAGTTTGGGACATCGGGCAGTATGCGTCGGTGGTTTTGAGGGGAGTTGTGGGTTTAGGCTGCACTACCTTTGGACTCTCCTAGGTTCACTGGGCTTTGCTTGTTGGGATTGCCCTTGGGACTGTATGGGGTTCCTTCTGGGCCTCCCTTAATGGTGGCTTGTGCAATCTGGCCCCCCCTAAGTCTTTTCCGCTGACTTCCAGCTGTTTGCTGCTGCGGCAGGTTTTGGGGGGTTTTGGGGCCATTTTGGGCTCTCAATGGTGTGCTGACTCTTGCCAATTACACTGCAAGCATCGGTGTTCTGGCGGACTCTGGGGTTCTTGGAGCTTCCCCTTTCTGGTGGCATGGTAGGCATGGGGTGCCCGGCTCTAGAACAGGTGGGTGGGTTTTCCTTTGGGACCATCATGGGGCGTCGCGGGCTGTCTTGTCATGTGACAGTACACTTTACCCCAATGTTACTCTGGTTGCGGCACCTGGCTTGGCGCTGTTTGAGTCTAGGGACGGCTGGTCTGGGTTTTTTGTGTCCGGGTATTCCCGATGTGGTGGCCGACTCTCTGTCTTGGTCATTATAGGGCGTACTTCGGGCAGAGGTGTCGCAGGGTCGATGTTAGGGCAGTGGAGGTGGTCGCTTGGTCCAACGGTCTGATGAAGCTGGTCCCAGGGGTCGACCTATGAGGCGGCATGGGGCCCGCTCCAGTATAGTGGGAGTGATCGGGATGGATGGGGACGTTTCCTTGTAGGTTCTGGGAGTGGACTGCTCATCTACATGTTTGGTTCCGTCTGTTGAGGGCGCTGGGGGTGATTTCTGCGATTGGCAGGGCTCGGCTTCCTGTTCATGTTACAGGTGTCGGCAAGTGGTGGGGTGTTTTGGTGGATGGACTTATTTCAGGTTTCTACGGCTGTTGTCGTTGGGACGGGTAAGTCAGTTGCAGTGTGGCTGATTCGTCGATGGAATCTGTGCGATTCTTGGATGTTTCGGGGTTGACGTGCCCTGGCTTTTCCGCGTTCTCCTAAGGTAGATGGAATGCACGGGGTAATGGTTGGGCTCCTAACACGATGTAAGGGGTTCACAGGATAGCCTGACAAATTCCGTTCTGATGGGGGGCGGTGCAGGTTTCCGTCATTTGCCTGAAAGATGGTGGGGAGTTCAAGGGGCATTTATTCTGGTTTGGGATGGCTACGGTTGCCGCCAGGCTTGGCGTGCCTGCGCCAATGGTTTCAAGGGGCTCGAATGGTGGGAGTCAGGGTGGTGGGTTCCTTCAGGTTCACCCTGCTGGTCTCCGAATGGATTCTCACCGCGGTTACGGCCCCCCCCGGAAAGGGAATGGTGGGATGCTCGTGTGTAATTTAAGCCAGGAGGCGGGGGCGAGTGGTTGGATCTTACGCCTTCGGGAGTGGAGGTTCAGCGGTCTGGCACCAGTTACATGGAGGGGGTGTGGTCCTCCTCCTACGGGGTCAGCTGTCCCACCTCATGGAGGTACCAGGGGGTTTTGTCATCTCTGGGTGGAATGACATGGGTTCGGTGTTGTATTGGGTGCTCTTCAATCTGGACATGTTGCGCATTCTGTTTTCTTCCCAGAGGTTCTCAGGGGCTAGGCTGAGGCTATCGCCCGTTCCTGTCGGCAGTGCGCTCAGCAATGTGAGTGCCTTGGTGCGATGCCGTAAAATTCTGACGAGATGGGTTTCTGGGTTTGTCTTGGGGGATTACAGTTCGCCTTAGGGTTTGGCCGGATGCGGCCTAGTTATCTCGAGGGGATGGGTGCGCTTGCTGGAGGTCGGAATAGGCCTATGTTAATCTAGCGCTGCAAGAAGTGGTGGAACAGGCCATGGCTGGTTATGGTGGGGTCCCCCGCTGATTTTAGGTGTAAAACACTGGGGTTGTGGCGGGGGTATGTCCTTGCCAATTGAGTTTTAGTGGTTACGTTTAAGTATATGGAATGAGATGAACAAGTTTTTTTAGGTCTCAACCTCCCCTGCTTCAAAAGGTTAAACATTAGGTTGCCTGAGGTGTCGTGCCCATCGAGCGTGGATAAGGTCGGCTGATGGCGGGCATTGGAAATATATGATTTTTATGATGAGGGGGGAGGTGAGAGGAAGTGGTGATTAGGAACCACTGTATGTTTATTGGCAAGGACGGTTGGGTCACTGTATAACACTATGGGTGGAGTTATATATGTATATATGTTAATTTATGCTTATTTATGTCTAACGTTTTGGTTACAGAAAGAAGAGATTTAATAAACAAAGTTATGGATGTGTTATGCAGTAATTTAGTTTGTGATAATAAATGCTGTGGCCTGTTCATCCATGCTAAGTGGTCTGTCGTTATTGGGGGGGGTAAATGGGTTTAGATTTGTACTAGGCTGCATCGCGATTCCCCATTACGTACATACATGAAACTTTCATCAGGATCAAAAATACACAATACATATAAATTACAGCCTATTAGAATATATACCTGCAGTTAAATTAGTAAATTGACTCACCCAAGCTGCCATGCATCACCTCCAGCGTCCCAGTGTGTGAACCGTGCATGCGTGAAGTGCTCCACCGCCTAGCAGCCGTGATGATGTCATGCTGTCAATCCGTTGCCATGGTTGCGAGCAAAAGCGCTGTGTTACCATGGAAAGAATAAATAGATATTGGCAATGAATAAAGTTATGGGAAAGTGCAATTTAAAAAAACAAAAAACACATATTCAGAAACATGACTAAAAGTAACTGTGGAAATATTAGGTGTATAGAATCATTGGTTAAAGTTATTAAAAGTGCCAAATTGTGCTTCTGAAAAAAAAACCTTAAAGTGTCTAGGACCAATGTTTGAAAGTGCATAATAGTGCTTCAGTGGTCAGGCTACTAGATTTATTCGAGTGTCATGTGACAAACATTATTGTTCAATCCCAGAGAGTATCTAGTTATATGTATTGTGTATTTTTGATCCTGAGGAAAGTCCCAGGAGGGACTGAAATGTTGATAATTTTAAATTGATGAAATGAAGAATTAGAATTTTAAGAACCAGAGTGCAGTCATTTTCATTACAGTTTATATATAGTGTGACGAGACCAATCTCGCCACATTGCATTGGAGAAGCCTGGTTGCTCGCCTGCTGCCTCTGGACTATGGCCCCCTGTTAAAAGACTTTATTTTTGCCTGCAGAAAAGCTGTATTCGTGCTTTTCTGCCGGTTGTTCGGTAGTTTCAATCTACCGAACAACCGTACGAATGACTGGACCACCTGGGAGCTGGAGTATGCCGGCAATTAACCTCCCTGAAGCTGCGGTTAACCGCAGCTTAATTGATGAATGCTGGGTGGCCGCCATTCGTATCCCGAACATGAGGTCGCGGCCATTTTAAACCATACGAATGAACAGCGGTGTTCGCCTCTATTTTCATGGAACTAAAATCGGACACAGTTTTGCGCGAACACCGCTGAAACCGCCGACCTCCCTTCTTGTTCGGTGAAAGTGCACGAACGGCCCGGTGTTCGGTATTTTTGTTTAAATATGTTATACCCCAGATAGGAATCCCATGGAGCCCATTCGTAGGAAACTGACTGTAAAGACTTTGGCTCCATGGCGATTAAACTGTATTCGTGTGGTCTGAGTGCCATTCACTTAATAATGTGCACTCAGACCTGAGCTATCTGGGGATATGTTACATGTCTGTGTTTTGTGGAATAAATGTTACTTTGTGTATTTTAAAGTATAATGCTGGTTTTGTGTCCCCACATGTGTAATGGAGTTTTGCCTTTCTCTTGGGAGATAATTGAGTTACTTCCCAATTATCTCCCAGGGCAGAGGGGAGGAAGCCAGGATGCATTGTGGGAGATACTGTGACTGTGTGTCCTATTTGTCTGCTTGTCTGTCCCTTGTCACAGTCTCCCATTTGGTCCCCTAGGGGAGTGTCCACCAGTTGGGAGACCTGCATAAATACTGGGCAGGTAGCCCTCATTAAACAGACCACTGCTTGACCCTCAACACGGAGCTCTGTCTCGTCTTTGGGGGGATTTACTGTATGCTGCTAAGGACTGATTGCCAGGGGTGTAAGCCGCTTGGGAGCTTTTCCTGTTCGTCTGGTAGCAGCAATTCGTATGGTTCCTGTTCGTGTATTTGGAGTGCTACCTTATTCCCTTGTATGCCGTTCGGGAGTTTGGAGCATTCACTTGTATGCAGTTCGAGTGTTTGGACCATTCCCTTGTATGCAGTTCGAGTGTTTGGAGCATTCCCTTGTATGCCGTTCGGGAGTTTGGAGCATTCACTTGTATTCAATTCGTGAGTTTTGGTGATTCTACAGTAGCTGTGCCTGTCTCTGAAAGGGGATTATCGTCTAAGCGTTTTTTTCCCTTTTTGTGCAAAACGGTCCGTTACATATAGTTACATAGTTACATAGTTACATAGTTACATAGCTGAAAAGAGACTTGCGTCCATCAAGTTCAGCCTACCTCACATTTGTTTTTTGCTGTTGATCCAAAAGAAGGCAAAAAAACAAAGTTTGAAGCACAATTTTGCAACAAGCTAGGAAAAAAATTCCTTCTTGACACCAGAATGGCAGTCAGATTTATCCTTGGATCAAGCAGTTATTACCCTACATTGAAAGATTATATCCTTGAATATTCTGTTCTTGCAAGTATGCATCTAGTAGCCGTTTGAACATCTGTATGGACTCTGATAAAACCACTTCCTCAGGCAGAGAATTCCACATCCTGATTGTTCTTACAGTAAAAAAACCTTTCCTTTGCCTTAGACGAAATCTTCTTTCTTCCAGTCTAAACTCATATACACTGCTCAAAAAATATAAAGGGAACACAAAAATAACACATCCTAGATCTGAATGAATTAAATATTCTTCTGAAATATTTTGTTCTTTAAACAGTTGAATGTGCTGACAACAAAATCACACAAAAATGAAAAGATGGAAATCAAATTTTTCAACCCATGGAGGTATGGATTTGGAGTCACACTCAAAATTAAAGTGGAAAAACACACTACAGGCTGATCCAACTTTGATGTAATGTCCTTAAAACAAGTCAAAATGAGGCTCAGTAGTGTGTGTGGCCTCTATGTGCCTGTATGACTTCCCTACAATGCCTGTGCATGCTCCTGATGAGGTGGCGGATGGTCTCCTGAGGGATCTCCTCCCAGACCTGGACTAAAGCATCTGCCAACACCTGGACAGTCTGTGGTGCAACATGACGTTGGTGGATGGAGCGAAACATGATGTCCCAGATGTGCTCAGTTGGATTCAGGTCTGGGGAACGGGCGGGCCAGTCCATAGCATTAATGCCTTCGTCTTGCAGGAACTGCTGACACACTCCAGCTACATGAGGTCTAGCATTGTCTTGCATTAGGAGGAACCCAGGGCCAACCGCACCAGCATATGGTCTCACAAGGGGTCTGAGGATCTCATTTCGGTACCTAATGGCCCCCCAAAGAAATGCAACCCCACACCATTACTGACCCACTGCCAAACCTGTCATGCTGGAGGATGTTGCAGGCAGCAGAACGTTCTCCACGGCGTCTCCCGACTCTGTCACGTCTGTCACATGTGCTCAGTGTGAACCTGCTTTCATCTGTGAAGAGCACAGGGCGCCTTTGGCGAGTTTGACAATCTTGGTGTTCTCTGGCAAATGCCAAACATCCTGCATGGTGTTGGGCTGTAAGCACAACCCCCACCTGTGGACGTCGGGCCCTTATACCACCCTCATGGAGTATGTTTCTGACCATTTGAGCAGACACATGCACATTTGTGGCCTGCTGGAGGTCATTTTGCAGGGCTCTGGCAGTGCTCCTCCTGTTCCTCCTTGCACAAAGGCGGAGGTAGCGGTTCTGCTGCTGGATTGTTGCCCTCCTACGGCCTCCTCCACGTCTCCTGATGTACTGGCCTGTCTCCTGGTAGCACCTCCATGCTCTGGACACTACGCTGACAGACACAGCTCACATTGATGTGCACTACCTGAGCCACTTGTGTGGGTTGTAGACTCCGTCTCATGCTACCACTAGAGTGAAAGCACCGCCAGCATTCAAAAGTGACCAAAACATCAGCCAGGAAGCATAGGAACTGAGAAGTGGTCTGTGGTCACCACCTGCAGAACCACTCCTTTATTGGGGGTGTCTTGCTAATTGCCTATAATTTCCACCTGTTGTCTATCCCATTTGCACAACAGCATGTGAAATTGATTGTCACTCAGTGTTGCTTCCTAAATGGACAGTTTGATTTCACAGAAGTGTGATTGACTTGGAGTTACATTGTGTTGTTTAAGTGTTCCCTTTATTTTTTTGAGCAGTATATATATATATGTGTGTGTGTGTGTGTGTGTGTGTGTGTGTGTGTATATATATATATATATATATATATATATATATATATATATATATATAAACCAAGCTGCCGTGCTTATTATTTTATAAATAATTTCAAAGATTTGGATATTAATATATATAGTTATAATCAAAAGTATTGAAAAGCAGGTTTATTGTCAAAATGTATAGACATTCATCTGTTTGCAATGAATAAATCAAGCAAAAGCAATTGATTTAGTTCAATACAACAAATGCTTCAAGTGGTTTCCCCAAATTCAACTGAAAATGCAACTTAAAATTAATTTTCCAGTCTCAAAACAATTTAATCATTTCATGACAAGCATCTTTAGTTCCTACGACCACGTTGCTGTTTTGACCTGCTGCAAACAAGATGTATAGCTCAACACCAGCTTCTGGCAGCATTCCTGAGGATTCTTAGTTCATGAGCAATGGCATCCAGTTCAGTAATATTCTTGGGTTTGTGTGCTGCAGCTGCCTTCTTCAAATCCTATCAGAGATTTTCTATGGAGTTCAAGTCAGGTGACTGTGATGGCCACTGTAGATGTTTCTAGAACTTCTTCTGCAACTAAGCATTGGTGGAATTTGAGGTATGCTTGCGATCATTGTCTTGTTGGAAGGTCCAATGATGCCCAAACTTCAGCTTACCCACAGACAGCATGACGTTTTCTTCTAGAATTTCCTGATACTTTAATTAATCCATTTTGCCTTCCACATGCTGCAGGTTTCCAGTGCCAGAAGATGCAAAGCAGCCCAAGAGCATCACTGAGCTACCACCATGCTTAACTGTAGACAGAGTGTTCTTTTCTCCTTCCTCTAGACATACTGTTGATCCATTGGGCCGACAAGTTCCAGTTTTGTTTCATCACTCCACTGTGCAGAATCCCAAAACAATAGGTCCCCCCCCTCAATTTCCTTCATAGCCCCCACCCACCACTCGGGGTGGGGGCCGGGTGGAGAACAATAGGTCCCCCCACCCTAAGCGGTGGGTGGGGGCCCTAAATAACAATAGTAGGGGGGAGCTATTGTCTTCTCCCCCGGCCCCCACCCCTGAGCGGCGGCTTGGGGCCCTAAAGGATAATGGGGGGGGCCTATTGTCCTCCCCCCAGCCCCCACCCCTGAACGGTGAGTGGGGGCCATAAATGACAATAAGGGGGGGACCTGAGCGGTGGGGGCTATAAAGGAAAATTGGGGGGGAGGACCTATTGTCCTCCCCCCGGGTCCCCACCCTTGAGCGGTGGTTGGGGGCCCTAAATGAAAATTACCCCCCTTCCAAGGTGACTAGGGGTCACCAATCCCATAGTCACCCCCCCCACCCAAATAAAAAATAATACCCTACCTACCCCCCCTCACCCTAAAAATAGTGAGGGGGGAATAAAAGAACTAAGTACCTGTAAAAAAAAATATAAAACTTACAATAGGTCCTGTTATTTATAGCCCCCATCCGCCGCTTTGTTTCATCGCTCCACTGAGCAGAATCCCAAAACTTATGTGGCTTAATTATATGATTTTGAGCATATTTGAGCATATTTTCCTGTTCTTTTGGGGTCAATACTAGAGTGGCGTTTTGGCATGGAAACCATTTGGCATTTAGTATGCGCCTTACTGTGCTCACTGAAACCTTAATGCCTGTTGCCTCCAAGTCTTGCTGCAGGTCTTTTGCAGTCACTCAAGGGTCTTTCACAACCTGCCTTCTCAGAAATTGGGTTAATTCATTGATAGCGTTTCTTTCTCTGCCCAGTCCAGGTAGTGTCACCACTGTCACTGTAACTATGCTTCCAACGTTGTCTCTAGGAACATTCATTACCTTCACTATATTTTTGTATCCAGTTCCTTGTTTGTGAAAGGTGATGAGTTCTTCTCGTATCTTTGTGGACCATTATTTTGACTTAGCCATGTTTCTAACATTTATTTATAAAATATTTTACCAGGAAGGATGCATTGAGATTTATCTTGTTTTCAAGTATGCTGTCAAACATGACACTCAACAAACGCCTAGCCAGTTCAGGTATTTTAAGTGTTCCAGCTCAAGCACACCTGAAGCAAATACATCATGTGTGCTTGAGACAACACCTGTTTTTCAATTTTGTACTGTTGTGTGCGATTCTATTCAGGGTGTTGAATAATTTTGAGACTGGAGAAGTCATTATAAGTTGTATTTCAGTTGAATTTGGGGAAACCACTTGAAGCATTTGTTGAGTTGAGCTATTTCCATTGCTTTTGTTTGATTTGTTCTTTGTAAACAGCTGAAAGGCTGTACATTTTGACAAAAAATTTTTTTATTTTCACTGGGGATTGAATAACTTTGATTACAACTTTATTAACTATAATTCACCTGCTTCTAGTGTATTGGATCTTTTTAACAATATCATATGATATTAAAACATGTAACTTTTTTTCACACAGGCGACACAGCTAGTTCTGGCTTTTCTACAAATAGCCATGGGAACAGTTTTGTTTTTCACTACACCTTATAACTTACCAGTCAGTTCATCTGTCGGCATCCACTTCTGGGGAGCAGTATTTGTAAGTATAAACTGATTTCCTTATCTGTTACTGTGTTTCTAGGAGACCATTTTCACTTAGGTTCATGATAATAAAGCTGGTCATAGAAAAGAATGAATATGCACACCCAAAGTACTGTAAATACACTTGCTCATCTGGTTTCTTGTCCTTGGTGTCCTTATAAATAAAACACCAGAGGACAAGAGAGACAGGGCTGGAAGAGGGTGTTGTGAATGCTATTTTATGGTATTGCATGTGTGGGTGTAGGCTGTATGTGGTGTTGTGGGGGTATGTGTAGGCTGATTGTGGTATTGAATGCTTGTAGGGATGCTGTAGTGTGAGGGGATAGGAGCTGTAATGTAAAGGGGGATAGGGGCTGTAGCATGGGAGGATAAAGCTGTAGTATAGAGTGGTATAGGAGCGGTTGCGTAGAGTCGGATAAGGGCTGTAGTGTAGAGGTGGATAAGGGCTGTGACATAGATGGTGATTGTAGTGAAGAGGGAAATAGGGGCTGTAGTGTGGGAGGATAAAACAATAGTATAGGAAGGTAGAGAAGCGTCAGTGTGGAACAGGATATAGGCTTAGAATGGGGAGATACGGGCTGCAGCATGGAGGAAGGAGATGTAGAATAGTGGAGTATAGGAGCTGTAGTGTAAAGGGCGGTGGGGCTGTAGTGAGGAGGCAGATGGGAGACAGCGACTGCAGTGTATGGGATGGATAGGTAGTATGGAGGGTAGGGGCTGTAGTGTAGTGTGATAGGGCTTGTAGTGTAGAAGGGGAGTTAAGTTCATTCCTTCCTCTTGCTTACCTGTAGCCAGCGATGGGGGAATTTGATCCCTGGTGGTCCAGGGGCTCAACATTTGATCTATACCTTCAGTGAGTAAAGACCACATGTACAGCAAGCAGCAGCTCTCTTAGGCTTGTGCTTAGTTTAAATTCAGAGTGTTACCATGGTATAAAGTTCAATATAAATATGGTTTATATTAATAAAATCAATTCACATATTAGTGATATTGCTTAATAATTTGCAACAAATTTGTAAACAGATTGTCTTAATGAAGGTATTTGTTAAAAAAGTAGAATCGATGCATATCAGCCTCAATTAAAGCGGCACTGTCATGCCGAACTTATCTTTCTGTAATCGATTCCTCTTCTCTCCCTCTCTCGGGATCTGTTCTTTATTTTTTCCTGTCTGCTCTAGTTTTCTTTAAAACATAAGGCAAAGTAGGTACTATTTGTCTTATGGAGGTTTCCTACGCCTGACCATCTCTGACCAGCGGAGGAGCAAATTGTGCTTCATTTCCTGTGGTCAGAGAAATTTTCCCACAATTCTAACTATTCTTTCCTACCTGTTCCCGCGATGCTTCCTGTCAGTATTCCCGAACGTTCTGTCATTTAGACAGGACGCCGGCGAAACCGCTGAATTGCGTCCTAACAGAATGAGAACAGTTTGTTCATTCGCGTTAGGACGCAATTCAGGACTTTGTATCGGAATTTCATTCTAATGAATGAAACTCCGATCCTATTCGTGCCGCGGCTGCATCTTGTACCTGCTTAGTAGATAACTCCCTAATTCCCATGGTATTAGGGAGCAATCTACCAAAAGGCTGAAAGACCTAAATTGGTCTTTCAGCCACATTTACTAGTACTAAGTAAATATTACTTAGTATTAGTAAATGCTGCACCTACTCGCTATACCGCGAGTAGGGGCATGCCTACTAAATAGTAAGCAGCCACAGGCTGTTTACCCCCCAAAAAACCCTCTAGTACCCCCCCCAGCCCCCACCACTGAGTGGCGGGTGGGGGCCATAAATAACAATAGTGGGGTGGAGATATTGTCCTCTCCCCTGGCCCCCACCCCTGAGCAGCGGGTGGTGGCCCTAAAGAATAATGGGGGGGCCCCATTGTCCTCCCCCCGATCCCCTCCCCTGAGCGATGGGTGTGGGCCATACATGACAATGGGGGGGCCCTATTGTCCTCCCCCCAGCCTCCACCCCTGAGGGGTGGGTGGGGGCTATAAAGGAAAATGAGGGGGGGAACCTATTGTTCTCCCCCCCCGGCCCCCACCCTTGAGCGGGTCAGAGCACTCTGTCAGAGCACTCTGATTGGATGGCTTAAATTAACCAGAGTGTTCTGAGCCTAATTGCAGGGCGGGGCAAGACTTTATAAGCCTTTCCCCACCCTGCGCAGCTCAGTCTGCACCATGCCCTCGCCGGGTGAAGATGGATTAATTTTTAGAGTCAGATTTTTTCTTTTTCCTCAGATTATTTTTTGCTCTCAGGTTTTTTATTTTATTTTTTACAAGTTCGACGGGTATTATGGTTTTTATTTGGCTTTTTTGGGGGCTGAAAAATTAAGATTTTAGAAAAAAGAAGACTTTAAATGGTAAGTTTTAATTTTTTTACAGGTAGTTAGTTCTTTTATTCCCCCCTCACTATTTTTAGGGTGAGGGGGGTAGGTAGGGGATTATTTTTTATTTGGGTGGGGGGGTGACTAGGGGCTTGGGGACCCCTAGTCACTATGGAAGGTGGGGGCATTTTTATTTAGGGCCCCCACCCGCTGCTCAAGGGTGGGGGCAGGGGGGAAGACAATAGGTCCCCCCCTTATTGTTATTTATGGCCCCCACCCACCATTCAAGGGTGGGGGCTGGGGAGAGGACATTAGGTCCCCCCCTCATTTCCTTTATGGCCCCCACCCACTGCTCAGGGGTGGGGGCCGGAGGGGAGGACAATAGGTCCCCCCCTCATTGTCATTTATGTCCCCCACCTGCCGCTCAGTGGCGGAGAGCACTGCTCCCTGCCGCTTCTATCTTAACATTTTACAAGGAGAAAGCTGCGCACCGGTACTTGTAATAAACCGAACGAACAAACGAACACTGATATTCAGTGGGGGTCAATTAGATGTAGTGGAATCGGGAGGGGGGTTAAAAAAAAAACGGGATTCAGCCCTGACAGTGCCGCTTTATTATCTTGCTGGTGAATCATTTTAATGTGCACTTGTATAGATTGCGATTGTGAGTATTAAAGTATAAAAATGGTGTATTAGAGGGAAGAAGCTACCAGGCAACAACATGAAAACATATTGTAAATCTGTCTTCTAGAAAGTGAGGCATCTACTCAATGCACTCAATGCACTCCAGTTTGTCAAAGAGTGATCAAAGCCTGTATGGTTACAATAAAAATCAAGATTATTCATGAAAGATGTTTGTAAGCTTTCCAAATGATTAAATAATGTTAGAAATTTTTTCCAAATTATTTATCTGCAGGAATGATCTTTTAAGTTTATCTACAGGAATCATCTTTTAAGTTTATGGGAGGCTGTGATTTTTGTTACAAAGGCCCCCTAAATCCCACTCTCTGACTTATGATAACTGCTGAAATGCTAATGACAGATGCAGACTTCCATCCCCTATAACATGCTCTAATTCCAGCTTGAACTATTATGGCTTGTTAAAATGTCTATTAAGAAAGACGCTTTGTAAACACTAACAGACGTATGCACTAATTAACAAAGTTAGAGTTGTCAGGAATTCACAGTGTATTCACAACGAATATAGTGGTTATGGTGTCAGGAGTACCATGTGCTCCCCCCTCCATTGTAAGAAGCCAAACCAGTTAAGAAGGATTTGACTTCATACCTTGGGGTCAACATGTCTGCTTCCCACTTTCACGGATTCAGTCAGAGAGAAGAGCAGGTCTAGCCCATTGGCTGACAGTATACTAAGCTGTACACCACTGGCCATAGCTAACGAGAGCCGGAAGCTGTATGTAGTATTGGAGGTGTGTAGCTGAGCCTGGCAGACCACAGGTAAGAAGTACTTACAATTGTGGGACATAAAGGGACCTAAAGGCAATCCTGGCACCATTACCACTACAGTGTGCTCTAGAGGCAATGTAAAATTGTAATGCAGCATATTAACAATAACCTCTAAAAAGTGGAAACTAATAATTTCATAAAATAATTGCTACAAAACATCTAAACTGTAACACATACCTAAACATGTATTTATAGTGCATATGACCGAGCAACCCTCCAGTAAAACAAAATATTGCTGTAGCAAATGTGAGTGTATATTTCCAAAGGTTTATAGAGAAAATAAGTTAATGTGTAGGTCGGGTCAGGAGCTACTGAAAATTTTTGTCAAGGGGATATTTCTGTTTTCCAGTTCAAGTTTAAGGCTACATTCTGCCAAATTGTGTATTATAAAATTGTGTATTATAAACAGCACAACTGTCTTTAATAATGATTGGACCCTTGAGCTTCATCGACCCTGCATACAATCACGCTCTCCACCCAGCAATCTTATTGTTGCAGGCAGTTGGCCCCCCCAGGAGTAACTGGGCCTGGGGCAGTTGCCCCGTTTGCCCCCTCTTAAAGACAGTCAGCATCAATATGCATTTAACTTGTTTCAGAGTACACTTTAAAATGGAAATGAATGGGAAAATCTGTTTCATATTAAACTCCCCAATGTATTCAATGTTTTATGCTTCTATGGCAGTTCTATTCTGTCATCATACAACCACATGCTGAAGGTAATTTAAATTAATTAATTTAGATTTGGAATTTCTCTAGAAAGGATGGGCCTCCTTTTGTAACAGTGAACCTCGTAAAAGTGCTGTGCTTACATTTGTGATTTCATGCATGTTTTATATATTATAATGTGGATTTTGTCTCTGCAGTACATCATTTCAGGTTCTCTATCAGTTGCAGTAGAAAATAAACCATCTCATTCACTGGTGAGTATGTACAATACTTATATAATTAAATCTGTAATCCTTAAAAAAACAAAAACACAAGGTCATCCCATCAGATTTCTTTAGTAAATATATGTTTTCTTATAAAGGCTAATGCCAGCCCCCAAATAGCATAATGTAATTGAAAGGGATTAAAATATTATCCAAGAAAAACAAGTGGGTCTTTCACTGGATAGCTGTTAAAGGGACACTCCAGGCACCCAGACCACTTCTGCTCATTGGAGTGGTCTGGGTGCCAACTCCCACTACTCTTAACCCTGCAACTGTAATTATTGCAGTTTTTTATAAACTGCAAGAATTACATTGCAGGGTTAACTCCACCTCTACTAGACTAGCCACTAGAGGGCACTTCCTGATTCATAGCAAAGATTTTCTTTGCTAGTGCGTCGCTGGACATCCTCACGCTGTGTGAGGACCTCCAGCGTCGCTCAATTCCCCGTAGGAAAACATTGAAAATCTTTTTCAATGCTTTCCTATATGGAGACCTAATGCGTGTGTGCGGCATTGCCGCGCATGCGCATTATGTTTCCTCACCGACTGACGTGATTACTGGGAGGAGCGATGCCGACCCGAAACCACCACCGAAGGACATCGGCGGGGTCTCAGGTAAGTGACTGAAGGGGTTTTTACACCTTCAGCTACCGGGGATGGGAGGTGGGAGGGAGAGGGGACCTGCAGTGCTAAGAAAACGGATTGTTTTCCTGGCACTGGAGTTTCCCTTTAAACCTGTACAAAATATAATACTACTATTGCTATAAAAAATAATATATATATTGGTTTTACTGGTTGATTGAATTATTCATGTATTCTCCTATTTGTTTAGTGGTCAGGCTGTCCCTGCATTAAAATACATTTCCATGTACTACTGTTAATCCTGTGGATCATGTCCAATACTCTTAAAGGGACACTATAGTCACCAGAACAACTACAGCTTATTGAAATTGTTCTGGTGAGTAGAATCATTACATTTAGGCTTTTTTCTGTAAACACTTTCTTTTCAGAGAAAATGCAGTGTTTACATTACAGCCTAGTGGTAACTTCACTGGCCACTCCTCAGATAGCTGTTAGAGATCCTTCCTCAGTCATGGCTGCCTAAAATGCATCCAAACATTCAGTATCTCCTCCCTCTGCATGCAGACACTGAACTTTCCTCATAGAGATTAATTTATTCAATTCATCTCTATGAGGAGATGCTGATTGGCCAGGGCTGTGTTTAAATCATGCTGTCTCTGCCCCTGATATGCCTCTTTGTCAGTCTCAGCCAATCCTATGTGGAAGCATTGTGATTGGATCAGGTCACCACTTCTGCTGATGTTAGCAGGCAGTGGGCAGGTCTAAAGGAAACAGGCACAAAGCATGGAGCTGCAGACTTGAATACAAGTAAGATTTACTATATTTAGGGAGGCATGAGGGGAACAGGGGGGCTAGATGGTTGTTTTAACCCTATAGGGTCAGGAATACATGTTTGTGTTCCTAACCCTATAGTGTGCCTTTAAGTTCCTCTTTTTTTTGTCAAAATTATATTCAGTGCCAGATATCTTGTAATATATCATATTATTCATTAATTTACAATTCCACCATACAATATAAAGTATTTCCATCCAGCACTTTAAAGTCATTATTAAAGGGTCACTGTAGGCGCCCAGATTACTTCAGCTCATTGAAATGGTCTGGGTGCAATGTCCCATGTCCCTTAACCCTGCAATAGTAATTATTGCAGTTATTGAAAAACTGCAATAATTACTATCCAGGGTTAACTCCACCTCCAGTTTCCTGGTTTGAAACTGACCTTTGAAAGTACAATAGAAGTACAATAGAGCTAAGCTGTGCCTAGGCTGAATTGGAGAATTGTATCAAATCAATTATTTTTGTCTATAATTAAAAATTAAAGGGACACTATAGTCACCAAAACAACGTTAGCTTAATGAAGCAGTTTTGGTGTATAAACCATGCCCCTGCAGTCTCACTGCTCAATTCTCTGCTATTTAGGAGTTCAATCACTTTGTTTATGAACCCTAGTCACACCTCCCTGCATGTGACTTACACCGCCTCCATAAACACTTCCTGTAAAGAGTCATCTACAGTTTATCCTTCCTTTATTGCAAGTTCTGTTTAATTTAGTTTTTCTTACCCCCTGCTATGTCAATAGCTTGCTAGACCTTGCAAGAGCCTCCTGTATGTGATTAAAGTTAAATTTACAGAGAAAGAGATACAATTGTTTAACCCCTTAAGGACCAAACTTCTGGAATAAAAGGGAATCATGACATGTCACACATGTCGTGTCCTTAAGGGGTTAAAGGATCACTATAGTGTCAGGAAAACAAACTTGTTTTCCTGACACTATATAACCCTTAGGTCCCCCCTCACCCTCAGGGCCCCCCTCCCTTGGCGCTGAGGGGGTTAAAACCCCTTCAGTTACTTACTTTAATCCAGCGCCGGGCTCCCTAGATGCTAGTGAACTCTCCTCCCCCGCCGACGTCAATTCCCGAGTGGATCAGAATACGCATGCGCGGCAAGAGCCGCACACGCATTCAAACAATTTCTCAATGCTTTCCTATGGATGTTCTGCACGCTGAATGGAATTTTCACATTCAGCGTCGCAGAAGCGCCTCTAGCGGCTGTCAGGAAGACAGCCACTAGAGGCTGGATTAACCCTGCAATGTAAACATAGCAGTTTCTCTGAAACTGCTTTGTTTACACCTGAATGGTTAAAACCTGGGGGACCTGACACCCATACCACTTCATTGAGCTACAGTGTCCCTTTAAGGTAAATTACATCTGATTGAAAGTGAAACCAGTATGTTTTTTCATGCAGGCTGTGTCAATCAGAGCCAGGGGAGGTGTGGCAAGGGCTGCAGAAACAAAGTGATTTAACTCCTAAATGGCAGTGAAACCTGAGAGGCATGATCTATACACTAAAACTGCTTCATTAAGCTGAAGCTGTTTAGGTGACTATAGTGTTCCTTTAATATTTCAATTCACTACATTTCACAGTTTAATAAATAAACCTCTGTAGTTTATTCCTGAAATTAAAGAATCATGTGTAGAGAACAAAAAGTTAAGGCCAAAGTAGTGGATTTGAGTTGAATTTTTAATTTTGTAATTTGATGTTGCATTTAAGCATGCAGGAGTGAACTTTATAAGGCATGTTATAAGTACACTATAGACATAGGAAGCAATTCATCTTACTGAAGTGCTGTATGTGTCTGGAGTTTGTCATTTAAAAAAGAAAAAAGTTAATAAAAGTGCAGATTTCAATAGAAATCAGCACTTTTATTGCAATAGAAATCAGCCAAAACGCCTCCTGGCTGTATGAGTGACAATTAGTTCCTTCCACTTCCTTTAGCTTGACAGAGCCTCCCCTCCTTGTCAATGAGCAGGACTACATCTCATTGTGAAATATCATGTGTGATTGATATTTATGGCTCCAGCATAGAGGCTTCTCAGTGAGAAACATCTGACTGGAGTATTCCCCAGCAAGACTTAAGAAGGGGATGGCTTGCTAGGTTAGAGACAGCAAGTCTGCAGCTGTGCAGGAAAAAATAAATATTTTTTTTGTGTGGAGGTATATCTACTACACCATTAAAACAACAAGAAAGAGACTAATATTTGGTCTGAATAAATAACAGACCAAATCACCTGCCATATTGGTCCCAGGGCATGGCCCTTCAAAATATAGACAATAGTCAATCCTCTCCTAAAAGGGATAGGAAGAGCCTTCTGGTCGATACAACGAATACCTCAAATATATTTATATGTCACTAAATATAAAAGT